TTGACTGAAAATCAACTATCAATCCAATTGATCCTGAGCAATGTTTTGGGTCATTCCATTAGGTCAAAATGATTCAATTGAACCCTTGAGACCATGCCTCAAACCAATTAACCATTTTCTAGGTAAAAAATCAGAAATTGCCCTTTCTCAATTAAAACCATAATTTTGACCATTTTGCCCTTTTGATGATTTGATCAATTTTCTTGAGGAATTATGGTCCAAACTTGATCAAATGATACATATGAGTTTATAATGTTGATCTGGATAAAAAATTATGAAGTTTGACTGTAAATTGGCCACAATTGACTTTTTCCCCAATACAGATGATTTTTAGGTCAACTGCTCAATTGATTGGGCAAAAAAGCGATCCAAGGCTTGAAACTTGACATGAGTAATCTTGGGGGGTCCATAATGGTCCATGAAAGTCATATTAGGCATTGAAAGTTCAATTATACTTGTGCAATCTCAAACCCTAATTTCAGTCATCAATGCTGAAGGAGGTGTCTTGAGTTGATCAAACCTTGGGCAGTCTTGAACCAAAGGAGATCTCGTGAGAAAATATTTTATAAATGAGAGGGAAAATTTTGGGTTACAACAATGCTCATCTATGATTGTTAGTCCAAATTATTTACATATCTGAAATTCTGGTAAAATTTCTAACAAGTTTGATGTTGGATGTTTTGAGAATGGATGGGAAATGAATGAGATACAGGGACCCTGGCTGGAGGTTGAAGATGAAGTTCATTTCTAGGAATGGATTTGTAATATATATTTATGGTTTTGTTTAAGTTAACGGATGCATAGCCACCCCAGTGGTAAGGCAGCGCGCGTATCATGTCAATGGCGTGGGTTCAAGCCCCAACACTGCCACTTTTTGTTTTTTTTCTAACATTTCCTTTCTCCTTGTTTCAAACACTAGCGCGCCTGGGCCTCCTGGATGGGCCTTCCCCTTTTTTTTACTGCACAACACCCCCCCTCTTGCTTGTTCCAGCGCAGGCCCACTGTTTTTTTTCCTTTTCTTTTGCTGACTAAGAAAAATGCTAATGGGTCAGGCTTCAAACAAAAACTGTTTTTTCTAACAAACACCCTAAATTCTATTTTCACCTCCTGGTTTATTTTTCAAATTTTATTTTATTTTCTTTAATTTATTATTTTTCATTATTATTATTATTATTATTATTATTATTTATTAAATCAAAAATTCCAAAAAATATTTTTATTTATTATTTGCATTCTATATATTTTATTCCTTTAAAAACAAAAGACAAAAAACATTTTTCTTATAAAAAACTTAATTTCTTTTTCTTATTAAATTAATAATTAGATTTAGGTTTAGTAATTTTCTTTTTTAATTAAAATTAACTTAGAATTTAGGTTTTCTTTTAATTAATTAATTTTCATACTATTTTTATTAAACTTAAAACCTTTTCTAAAAAACCCTAAAAAATGCTTTCTAACTTAATTTAGTTTCTTAATTATTTTATATTTAATTTTATTTATCTTAATTAATTACTTCTTTTAGTTAATTAGGTAAAAATCAAACTCTTTCCTCAAAAACTAAACAAAAATCCATTTCTTTTCCATTTATATCATTGCACATTATATTTATTCATTTCTTGTACATTATTCAATATGATTGTAATAGATAATTAGGTTTAATTTCTTGCAATCTCCATTTGTAAATTTGTATACCCCATCCCCAAATGATGTAATAGCGTAGTAAATTTACTTTCCACAAATTATCGCTTTCATATAAATGCTAGTAATTAGGGTTTGTATGAAAAGATAAAAATCAACAAGTAGATAACCCTAATCAAAGATTAAATGCATGCAAATCAAAAATACTATTCACACATGCACCCTTAAGGTTAACTCCACTTGTTGCCTAAAAAATGGTCATGTTATGCATGTGAGATGTCTTAGCAAAATCAATCGAAATACAAGATCATAGTTCCTCGATGACGCTACAAATGTTGCCTTTCAAATGATCTTAGTCCCTCAAAGAGAAATGTTAAGACATCTTACAACATTTCTATCATGACTATACGATGATCCACACTCGTCCCTTTACATCCAAAGATAAGGCTTCTTACCAATCAATGGTAAGATAGTAATATCAAAGGAAAGGAGGAAAAGAACAAATACTTTTGAGTAGGTAGAAATGTTCTTAGTTGCTTGCTCACTTTCAAAACAAACACACACTTTCAAAACAATCACCAAACATTTTCAAAAACATGAAATATTTTCAAAGGTCCAACACTTTGTATATGTTCTTACGAAACGAGAATCATTACAAAGTTTTCCTAAACGAAGACGCCTTTTCAAAAATACTTTCAAAAACTACCACAAAGCACATTTTCAAACAAAGCAAGTGATCTAGCAAGCAACTAAGAGCCCATAGATAACTATGGATGAAAAGGGTGTTAATACCTTCCCTTTTCATAATATACCCCCCGAACTCAAGAAATAATCTCAAAGGACTTTCCTGTTCTTTTCCATCTTTCCTTTTGTATAAAAGAAAAGTTGGTGGCGACTCTTAATAACCGCAACAATTGCGATCAAACGCAAAACATCCCAAGTCAGTTCTCCCACCGTATTACAGAAACCATCAACTTTTGCCCTTATAAACAAAGGCTAGAGATGGTACATCATATCAAATGTAGGCTTATCAAACATTGCATGTTGTTCTTCCACTACCCCATTATTCATGACATAGTAACATAAAGGTTTTTGGCCCGCAGATTCTTCGCACATGGATTCTTCTTTGTTCCAGGTGCTTCTGACGCGAAACCATACTCATTAGGTAGGACCGACATAATATTACAGTGAATAATCAAGCCATCTTGTGAGCTATCTTCAAAGTCGTTGGATAATTCATCGTCCATATTGTCATCAGGATCTTCAGCTTTTGTTGGCGATGCACTCACAACCGGCATCGACAAACTCTCTTTTACTTGTCGATGGTGCATTTCCTTCTGGTCGCTCTCATCTTTTGATGGAGCAACTTTTGATGTCGCTTCTCTTGTAGCTATTTTAATTCTTTGAAACCTTCTCCACTGAGTCTTCGTCATAGGATTCTTCTCTTTGTATGTGGGAGGAACATGATACTTCTTTGAGGTGATCCCAGCTTCAGCAAATTGAGAAGAACTTGATCCGTTCTCCATCGTTTCCCACTTATGACTCGAACCTGAACCTTTCTTCACTACCTTCAAATTTTGGTTTTCCCCCTAGGATAGAAAGGACGAACTCAGTTATTGTTAGGACCATCAGTTGGTGGCACAAAGGTCCTTTGATACAGAAACTTAGGTTTTACTTGAGGCACTTGGACTTTGTATGGCCCCTTCGTATGGTCTAACACCACCTTTGGATTTTTCTCTTGAGGGCGTTTCTTCTCCAACGCCTCAATTTTCTTTGCAACATTTTTATCATAGACCATGTTACAATTGGGGCATAACATAGACCTGGAATTACTCAACCTGCATCTATTTAGAAAATCCACCAATTCCTCCTCAATTTTTGGAAACACAACCTTCATCAATTCAGCAACTGTTTCTTCAGACAATTCTCCATTCTTGGTTTCGCAATCCATTTTTCCATGTCGCCCTGATTACCCTCGGGCTCTTCAATAATATCAACTATCATCACTTCCTATGGCTTAGACAAATTGTCATTTCCACTTTTGAGACCTTCAGTAGTCTCGACTGCTGTAACTACCATTGGATCAGTAATCACAACTTATTCATTCTCAAAGCCATCAGTAGTCTTGATTGTCAATGCTGCCATTAAGTCGATAATGTTGGCCTGTTCGCCTTCGAGACCAACAGTAGCCTCGACCACCGGCACTTCCAATGGTTCAACAAAGTGTGCATTAGCAACATGTAAAGGATCTAAGTCGACCTTCATGGAGCTTTTTGGTTTTTCACCAAATTTCAATCGACCATCTTTCAAAGCCTTTTGAATCAAATTCCTGAAAAGAAAATATTGAGAAGTATTATGACCCTGAAAATTATGATACTTGCAGAAACCTATTTTTTGTTTCTGCTCTAATGGTGGATTTTTACTGCCTGAATGCACTATAATCTGACCATCTCAAACTAAAACATCAAATATTTCATCATATTTTGACACATCAAAAGTATATATTTTAGTATTAGATTTATCATTTTTTGGTTCTTCAACCGTTTTTCCTTTTGACGGTTTTATAGGTTTACATGTATATGGAGGTCCGGCTTTTAATTCAGCCACGCTAACTTCTCCTTCTTTCATGCATTCATCTTCAGACTCTATAGAATAATCTTCCGTATCTACATAGGTCACTTTGCCTTTTCTATGATCCTTTGAAACTCTAGTTTTCTCTGTTTTCAAACGTTTGACATATCAAACCTTATCAGCTATTATTTGAGACATATTTGTAATAGATTAAGGATCAAACTTCTTCCTAATAGAATAATCTAAGTCCCTAGCGGCAATTTGACCGGCTCATGTTCAGGAACTCTAGTAAAACATCTAGACTTTAGGATCCTAAACCTATTCAAATAAGCCTTCATTGACTCAGACGACCTCCTCTTGATTGAGGATAATTCTTTTAAACTTATCTTAGGTTTACCAACATAAACTTATCTCAGGCCCAATCACTTACATTTAGAATTTCTTTAGGTCGATCGCATCAATAGTCGAATCACATAAATTATCTTTTTCAAAAAACTTTTTAATCTTTTTTTTTTTTTTAATTTTGATCGTTGTTGAAAATTTCAACCAACACCTAGTTAGTGAAATAAAACTTAGCTAGATAAAACTTATTGGTATTATAAAAGTCAATAGATATATAAAATATTTTATTCTAGGCCTCTACTACAAGATTGTTTTTGGCTTTAATATATTTCTGTCAGCACTATAAATATTAGCTATGTATCCATTCTCTTCTATCTGTGTCTTCTAATTCATAGCCTATTTAGTGATTCAATTCACTACTCTCACACACAGTCTCTCTAGCTATGGAGATGGAAAAGAGACTCATGCATGCTGTTCAGTACAATGCCTATGGTGGAGGATCCAATGCCTTAAAGGTTCTTCAACTTCATTTTATTATTCTATTATTTCACATGTAATAATCATTTTTGTTTAAGTAGATAACAAATATTTGTTTATAATTTTGAGTTATTGCAGCATGTCGAAGTTCCCATACCCATTCCTAGTAAAGATGAGGTTTTGATAAAATTGGAAGCAGCTAGTATAAATCCACTTGATTGGAAAATACAGAAAGGCACTCTGTGGCCAATTTTGCCTACCAAATTTCCATATATACCATGTAATTCTCTAGAAATTCATTTTATCAAAGAGAGATTTGAGATGTTTAGAACTCAAACATATAAGAATATTCATCTTTATCATATATGCATTCTGTAATAGGTGTGGATGTAGCAGGAGAGGTCATGGAGGTTGGTAAAGGTGTTACAAAGTTCAAAGTTGGTGACAAAGTTGTAGGCTCAATGAGTCCCTTTGTAAGTTTTTTCCTATATAAACCCCCAGTTATTTGTCCCATTTGAATTTTTTTAGACATTAAATTATATTATGGTAGAGTGGTGGAGGACTAGCTGAGTTTGCTGTTGTAAAGGAGAGTGTCACAGTCTCAAGACCACCAAAAATGTCAGCATCTGAATTCGCCGGCTTACCTGTTGCCGGTATAACAGCTCTCCAAGCACTTTCCCAATCAATAGGAATCAAACTCGACGGAAGCGGTGAACGGAAAAACATCTTGATCACTGCAGCATCAGGTGGTGTAGGCCACTATGCAGTTCAGTTGGCGAAATTGGGAAACACTCATGTGACGGCCACCTGCGGTGCTCGAAACATGGAATTGGTCAAAAGCTTAGGAGCTGATGAGGTGATTGATTATAAGACACCAGATGGTGCTGCATTAAAGAGTCCATCTGGTAAGAAATATGATGCAGTGATCCATTGTGCAAATGACTTTCCATGGTCAATTTTTGAGCCTAATTTAAGCATGAATGGTAAGGTTGTAGACATAAGTCCTACACCTGGTTCAGTCATGAGTTTTGCTCTTAAGAAACTTACCTTCCCCAAAAAACAACTTGTGCCATTGTTTTTACTTCCAAATTGTAGGGATCTTCAATATCTTGTTGATTTGGTTAAGCAAGGAAAACTTACAACAGTTATTGACTCCAAGTATCCTATAACAAAAGCTGAAGATGGTTGGGCTAGAAGTATTGATGGTCATGCAACTGGAAAGATCATTTTTGAGTTCTAAATATTATGGTAAATGATGCTCTATAATAATATGCATACACTACCTTATATCTATTGATACAGTAATGTTGTGTTTGTTTAATAAATAAGTATTTTTTGTTTTCATTAAGAATATATTTTAATAAAAGTAATAAATGTATTCTAATAATTTCAAGTGATGTTTATGTGTACGTAAGTAATAGAATTAGAATTTTGTCTAAAATATGGTTTCAGATACTAACTTCCTAATATCATATCTAAATATCATAATAAAACTAATTAAGTTTGACTTAATCTATTTCTATAAAACTAATTTTAGGAGAAAGAATCTCACTCTATATAAACTCTTCCATCTCTTCCATCTGCTGAAAGAATATCACACACACCAAGTCATGTGGATTAAGGTGTTTTAAACATAAGATCCAAACAACCAGACTCATTATCTACTGTATAAAAGTGAGTGTAATTTCTTAATGAAATAAAAAGTAAAAGTACGTTCCAAATTTTAGTAGTGAAAACTTGTCATTTAAAAATAAAAGGGTTGTTAGAAAATATACAACATATAAACTGAAAGATATTTTTATGAATGATAAAAAACATTCAATAAAGTGAAATGAGTTGAGATTTCATTACATTAGTTGAAACTACGTTAGAAATTTTTTAAATTAATAATGTTCGGACAAATTTTTTTTATTAATTTAAAGAGTTATTAATTTATCGATAAATTAATAATTATTAATTTAAAGAGTTTTTAAATAATTATATTGTACATATCAAATAAAAAGGCAAATTAATTTATGCCTCTTAGAATTACGTTGCAATAAATCTTGGAATTCAACATAAATTAGTAACTACGGTATTCATATGCATTGGAAATCAATAATAACTTTTGAAGTACATTAAATATAAACAAGAGGAACAAATGTATTCTATGTATTCTTAAGTAAGTTTGGCATATATAAATTATATGAATGTGTCAGAGTATTCAAACCATATCTCACAATCTCGAGATTATGGTCAATCAATGTGGCTATCGTAATAAGATGAATATCGACAGGTGAAAGTGAAGCATGTTCGGAGGTTCAGAATTTAGAAGATATTGTGGGTATTGAGAATAATATAGAGGATGACGGGAAGATGATACGGTGTTTTTGGAGCCTGTTATGCGAAAGAAAGTACTTATGACGTCGAACACTCTTCACAATTTTATAATACAATATAAAAATACAACACCTGAGCTATTGGATGCAATAAGAAAAGTTTGAGATGCTCCAAATAGAATTAAACTTTAAAGAAAAATAGATAATTATTGAATCATATTTCAATAGAGTGTCATTTTTTTTTTCAGTTTCTATAAATTATTAATTTATAATTTTTTTGAGACAAAAAATTATAAAGGAATCTCCCAAAAAATTATTATCTTATTATTTTATCGAGTTATTTAATTTTTTATATTGACACAAGTTGAGGCCAGACAAATTTATTATTTTTAAGAGTTTATTAATTTATCGAATATTAATGTAAAAGTGTCTAGTGTAATTTTGGTAGTAGTTGTGGTAGTCATGTAATACTTACTTTTTTTTTCTTTTTTTTTGCTACGTATCATGTAATACTTAATTGATAGGTAGTTGGTACATACGTTTATCGATACACTTTAGAAATTGCATGATGGTGGTTTACTACTTGTATTTCAGGAGTCTCGAGTGTTGGAAGGGTTGTGAGCTTGGCCTATAAATATGGAACTTCAATATTGAAAAAATTGTTTTCCATGAAATATAAATTTCTGTCTATTAATTGTGATTAAATTATTTTCTTATTTAAGTTCTTGAGTTAATAACTTTTTTTGACGGGATTCTTGAATTAATAACTTGTTTAAGTCTTATCAATATTTATCCGTCATTTTGACAGCTGCTCTTTTTTTACAGTATTACTTTTTTACTCTACTAAATATTTTGTAATTTCACCTTGATTTAAGTGTCTAAGTAATATCTTTATGGAAGGTTATTTTAGGTAAACTTTGCAATTTTTAAATAATTTGTGCTGAAATTATCTACCAAAAATTGAAATTATTCGCATTAAATTCTTTATTATTTATCTTAGTTTTGTAAATGTTTTTCATCTGAAAATATTAAAAACTACTCCTATTTACTTTCTAAATATAAATTTTTGAAGACATTCTTATTTTCTGTTAATTATTCTAAAAATATAGATTTTTATTTTTGGAGAAATAAGATATTATATATATATATATATATATATATATATATATATATATATATATATATATATATATATATATATATATATATATATATATATATATATATATATATATATATATTCACTCTATAAACAAAACCAAACCACTGTAGCATATTCAAATGAACAACATGCTCAAAACCACTGTAGCATATTCAAATGAACAACATGCTCATGCATTTTGGCTTTTCTCCAACACTTGTGAACTATTCTTTCTATAATTTGTCTATCCCAACTTTTATTATGATTTACATTACTATCAGGTGTCCTATATATATAGCAGCATTCCTATACAACCAACATATATTAAGGATCTCTACTAACGGAAATTTCTGTAGAGATTATCTATTTGAAATATTTGAAACATTGAAGTTGGAAATTTTTTCTTCCGTAGAAATAGAGATGGAGGAAAAAGTTCTCTGATGACACATTAGAGCAAAGATTGAGAAAGTACCATCTGTCTCGTAAATTCACCGATTCCGAACATATTATTTAAGTTTTATATCTTATATATTATATAATCTATAATTGTATAATTTTACATAAAAAAATATTAATGTATTAGAAAATAAAATATCATTAATAGATATTTTATTATTATATTTTATTATATAATGTATTAGTTTATTATCTAAATATTCAACCCAGTAAAAATGTACCAAATATATAATTACATTTCAAAGGTGAGTTAAGAAGCTTAATCATATGTATTTGTGATATGGATATGCACTTTGCTAAGCAAATAAATGCATTTGAAAATGAATTTGAAGTATTTTGTTCCGTACTATAGTGTATAAACTAAACAAAGTTCTTTGACCATATATGTCCATTGAGTATGTTTTTAACATGTTTTTATCAACTCTCTTCATTTTAATACGTGTTGATATAGTATTTTGTTGTAAATGTTGATCACATATTACTATATACTATTTGTTTTGTTTTTTTTCATAATTTTAAGAAAACTCAAATATCAAAACATTTTGATTTAAGTCAATAAAATTAATTATAGTTAAGACACAGATCTAACTAATCAATACTCACTCCTTTGTGAAATTTGTCTATGAAATTAGGATTTTTTAAGTGCAGAAACACTTAATTTTTCTAAATGTTCAAAAAAAATTAATATTTGATTTTTGTTGACTTTTCTTGATTCTTTTGATTATTGATGATCAAGTTTAATAATTTTGAATATTTTGATGATCTTTGATCTTTGAAGTTGATGACCAAAAAGCTCAAGTTTGAATTTTGTGTGACAGTTGATCTTTCATGAGTTGATTCCAATTTCTTCTCTAACAATCAATTATATCTTTGAAAATGTCTTGAGCCTTACAATTAGGTCAAGATGTTGCATTTGATTTCTTTGAATCATGCTTCAAGTTATTAGGTCATGCATTGAGTCAAAAGTCAATGATTCACTCCTTTCAATCAAAAACCCTAATTGATCAACACTTATATTGATAAAGACCTCTTGATTCAAAAATATATTTGACACAAAGAATAAACATACACCTATTTTTATATTTTGTTAGAAATGCAATAATATATGTGAAATAAACTCTTAGGTCAAAAATTAATATACAACACTAAGTTCTTTAAGAATACTCAATTTACTTTTGTCAATGGATCTTGTGTTTTTAAATTTTGAAATTCCTTTGAATGGGAGATTCATCTACCCGAGTTTTAATATTTTTTTCTGACCCATTATAAGATTCTTGTTTTTATAACTCTCTCGCTCTCGTAAGCTACAGACATGACATCAAATGCTCTGGATTCGGCTCTTACCGTTTCTAGTCGATCTAGTCGATTTCCCAATTCAAGAGGTGAACTATTCTTTGAGGATTACTTAAAATTTTCATATGTCGTCCTACACTTTTAATTGGAATCTATTTTAGATAATTTTGTATGCTTCCATTATTTATTGTTAATTATCTTGATGGACCATTACGAAACCAATATGAAGCGACCAAAATATAATCTATAATATTTTGACTTCTTTTAAAGGGCTTTTTGTCTGTTTTTACAGATACAATCTAGAATAAGACCTTTTGGTGAAGTTGGCATGTCGGGGTGGATAAACGTCGGGCCTAGTCGGTTTTGGGCTAAAATATCCAAACCAAGTCAAGTTGTAGATGCTTAAATGAGACCAAACTTTGACTGGTTTTAATTTATGTTTATTCGATTTGCAGTTTTTCAGCTTAACGGATTGGTCGGTTGGTTTCAAACGGTTTGGACCGTGGAAAATAAATAGCCCAAAAACAAAATTTTCTTTTTCTATTTTTTAAATTCATTTTAAATAGTAAATGTTTTGGAATTACATATTTACGATTAGATGAAAACTTAAAAATATTATCCACTTTCATTTGTGATCCTAAAAAAATAATATATAATATAGCATTCATATATATATATATATATATATATATATATATATATATATATATATATATATATATATATATATATATATATATATATATATATATATATATATATATATATATATATATATATATATATATTAACTACAGTCTCCATAATGAGTATTAAATAACAAGTTTAAAATTATCAACTAATAAGAAATGGTTCATCCACCAAAGTAAATTAGTATCCAAGTAAATCAGCATTCAACCACTAAACCAACATTCAAGTAAAATCTGAAAACTGCGTTAAAATTAACTTAATGTTTCTGATAACTCAAGTAAATCAACATCCAAACAAAGTTTTCTAAATGTCTGCTCGACTGTTTGTCTCTTATTTATTGTT